AGGCATTTGAATGCATGCTTCCACTTTCCATCGGCTAACTGGAAAGGATAGGAGATAATGCTACTCTTTTGTAAAAATCTGCTTTGTCAAGTACAGTACAGTCAAAAAATAGGGCGCTGTTCGGCTTGGTGGGGGACATTTTTTTCGATCTCTGCCGATGTCTCCTGTATTTGACAGGAGTCTACAGGTCTCATCAAACCAAGAGGAACCACCGACAAAAAATAACGAAAGATCGCCCTCTAAGCAGCGAGCAGCGCCAGATAGTTATTTGTGAGAGCTTCAAGTGACTCACAGGCTCTTTTACAAAATCTTTCAAGGCAGCATGAAGCTTCTTTTGACCAGCATCTTCCAGTGGGCAAGGAGTACTTGAAAAACTTGAAAACCGTTTAGGAATTTTTGTTTGCCGTCGATTAGCAACCACTTCATGCAGTCTAGATATGCTGAAACTAGCCAGATTAAACAACAGTGAGGTCTAATGCACGAAAATTTGACTCACCGTAATGGGACATTAGCAAAAGTAGCATTGTTCGTCAGCCTCACGCATTCCTCCGAATCGAGATATGTGATCTTAATGGCGATATCAATAAAAAATATCGAAACTGGTGTATATAGTGTAGTTCGCTGCGGACGGTTGGGCGTGTCAGTGCGGCTGCGTTTGGCGCGGTGCCAAACTCGTTCTCCACCAGTTGTTGAAGCGGGCAAGTGACAATACTGTATCATATCCTTCGTATTACTCGTTTTCTACCACTTTTTGTCGCATGCGCAAGAAGGCAGAGAACGGCTTTGACGGGGTGACACACTCATACTGGCTGACACGCCCAACCGTCCGCAGCGAACTAGAGTGTAAGTAGCAGTTACTTTCAAAAAGCCTTATCATAGGTTATTCTAAGGCTAGGAATCTGCACATTTTAGGCATGTTATAATGGGTCACTGTGCTAATAAAAGCACTATATCCCCTGGAAATACGCTGCTAGTGAGTACGGGCCAAGGAAATGCAGGCCATGCAAGATTGGTAAGACTGCGTTCATACTTCGGCGAGCGCCTTGAGCGTACGACAGCGTTGTGATCGTGCGCCAGTGTTTTGGAGCGTTTTGAGCAACCAGGAAAGTATAGGCATCGGACTAGCAAGTTGGAAACGCTGGGTCGATTCCCAGCCGCTCAAAACGCGAAGTATGTACGCTGAACAACAGATCTCAAACTCGCAAGAAAATGGTGCTTTCTACGCCACACAGCATGTCTCAAAGATACTCTGAGCGTGTAATGACATCTATCACGGAGCGAGAGTCCTGCATTATTCAAACGAAAGAAAATAGAAACGAAAGAATGGAGAGTCACCTCGCACGGATCGGGCTCTCCATCCGGCCACGGTACTTTGACCTCTGACAACAGTTCGCCGTCGGGATCTTTCAGCCGCAGAAGAACGTCTTTTCGACCTGAATTGTTCGGTTTTGCTTCAGACCCAACACTAAATCTTCCATGTCCGAAATTCCTACTGATTACGGTAGTTATCCATTTCAAAAAAATTTGAAATTCAAAGGTTCATGCCTAACTTTGAACCATATACAAAAATGCGACTATTGAAAAAATGAAGTGAGAGGAGACATACCTTTCTTGCTGTTCTCTGGAACGGTTGTGTGAACCACAGCTACACAGCCTGCTATACTACACTCGACTGCTGCATGATAAAAATTGCATATACAGAGTTGAAAAGGAGCTCAACGCGCTTGAGTGGATACGATTACGGCATTTTGCACGGAGCGACAATGAAAATTCGGCAGCCAAACATGCATATCTTAAATGCTCCAAAACAGGTCAGTTGGCTGCAGATATTTAATGAGCTTCAAGCGCTACATCAGCATTCACCTGATACCGCTTGACGTCACCCTCGCAAGCACGGATGCCGCCACTTATTGGAGACAGTGCCCCGCCCAACTGTCTGTGCCACGCCCCCCGAGTGCTTTTCACACGACTTTTTGGGGGTGCAAATTGTTCCCGCTACCATGCTCTTTCCATTCCGAATGTTGATAGTAAGGATAAGGGAAAAGAGCTGATATCGCTATGATACCAAAAGGTGAGAAATCGTCCAACCACGCCTCTTATTCGCCTTTGCTTCGTGCAAGCTCCGCCATTGGCAGCGACCTAATATCTTGAGGGTATCTCGGAACATTTTTCGTTATCTCCTAGTTACTTACTCATCTGTCCTTAGCTATTTGAGCTCCAATATCCTTCTAATCGAGGGAACTGCCTTTAAGCTTTTAACAAGAATTCACCCCAAGAGACAGACATAAAACAGTTTTATTTTGCCTTCACAAATCTACTGAACATATGGAATTCATCGCGAGCCAAAAATATGAACTTGATAGAACGAGTACCCATGAACCTTATATGTGCAAGGACTTCTTCTGAACAACTAGTCCTGAATTACTGAGATGCTTGGAAAGATTTTAATTCAGGGATTTTATATGAACGACTGACTCCTCACTGTAAATTTTCTAAATGTCGTAAAATGCCAAATAATAATTTGACAGATGGTGAAAAGAATAAGAGGAGAAAGAGCATATTTGAAGCGACAAATCCAGCTGTAAACGAGGAGGCAAAAGCTTCCTATTCCGGCAATTTTTTCACCTTAAAGAGCAAATAACCTCGCAGATGCAAAATTAGGCGTCTGTAAATGGTTGCCTCCGCAATTCACACAGTGTTCTGCGGGACGCCTATTTCAAAGTGACTGGCTACGCTACTACATAGTATACCGTAGCATCAGTAAAAGAGCTTGATATCCATTGTAAATATAGATGTGTTAGAGTGTGTATTTGACCCGGCCCTTTCCAAGAATCTTGTAAACTGACGGACACATTGCTAGTGGAAGAAGCGTCCGATCTTCCCAGATACTGCAGGCAGGTTGATCTCTTCCGCGTCCTATCCCACTGACGAGCCCGGTCTTGACGAAGGTGACTCCTATGAGAGTGAGCGTACCAACTGGGCTTTTTGAGTCAGTTCACTCTCCTTTTCCAATTTGCGTATCTGATGGCATAGCTGACGTCCAGCCGGTCGGTGGTCGTGGGATGAGCCCAACCCGACTGCGTTTCCTATCAATAGTGGCTGATTCAGATAGGAAACAACCAGTAGTAGAAAACGCTGGGTGAACTTACTCTACGCCTCCTGGACCTGTCTTTCCGAACTCCTCTCGAATGCTCTTGACACCCCTCCCTCCAGGATTGCGGCGATATTATCGCCCAAGAAAGTCCTCTAGGGGAGAATCTCTGGTACACCCACCACCGAACCCATGGAAGAACGCGCTTTCCTCCACCTTCCTTCTCCTACTCTATCTTCTCTCTTCTGTTCCTGTTTTCACTGCTGCAAATGTTGTTTGGACTGGATATAATACTAAGTGGGAAACATCTCTGACGACCTTAGCGGGCAAGGAACATCGATGACACGAAGAAATTTCTTCTGAAGTTCCCGCTTCTCAACGGACAACCTGCGGAGTCCGTCGGCCTAGGACTGGAATTCTTCTTAACCAGGAGCCTTGAACTGACCATCTATCTAGAACTTAGGAACTGGTGAATAAAGCATTTTCACAGGTTATTCCAGACAGTTGACCATTAGCTGACCCTCCTAACTAGTTTCGCCCTCGTTGACGCCTAGCTGTGACCTCGGTCCATAGTATGACCTCAGGTCTCGACGTAACCCCAGGGTATCCTCCTATGCAGACATGGCACGCCCATGTCATCACTCATACTACGATGTACGCTTCCATGTTCCACAGCAATTTCTACTACACTGAAACTGCCCCTACTCCATACTTCGTTTACGGATCCTTCACCCAGACTTACGACGCCTATGGGAATCCTTTTATCCACCCATGGAAGAATTCTACTCCTCATATGATGCTCAACCATCCATGCAGTTCCCGGACATGAACCAAGCAGGGTTGCCCACACTGCCTTTCGAATCTCAGACAACGTTTCCTACTCCAGATGCTCAACCCTACGGATATGAGAGCACTCCAGCGGAGCCTCTATACATTGGCGATATTCCAAGCTATATGAACGATTCCTCCCAGGAACAAATGTCATTCTCTAGTTCAATTTTCAATAACTCGGCCGCATTTTCTGATGTCAGCGACACTACCGTACCATACGTAGAAGAAGGGGATTCTATCAGGAATTCTCGCCCAAGCTCATCGTTCACGACAACCCGTACTGATCTACCATATTCCGAAGACGGATCTCTGCTATGTATACAATCGCTTTGATGACACCTATGGAGAGAAGGCAACATATATTTGTAGAGGGTGCTCTATGCTGAAGAGACACGTACAGGCAGAGGTCAGTAATTTCCATGGTTAAAAAATGAAATTTGACGAAAAAAATTCCCGCACAAAGTGGCCAAGTTGCGAGATTTTACGCGTCGATGTTAATTTCCTTCCTTGTTCACATCAGCATACCCAGCAATGGAGAGGGCGTGCCCCCCGCTAGCGGAATAGGATGCGTTTTTCGTGTGCTTGTTTTTCAGTTAGGGAAAACTTTTATCCTGTTTGCAACAATTGTAATAAGCTGCCAAAAGGCAATATGTCTAAATGCTTATCCGCCTGTCACCTTCACTCGACGCCACGCCGCCAACGCCACCCCCTCCCCCCGTATCGATAGGATTATGGCGCTACGAATCACAGAGAAGTCCGAGGAACGCCTTAACTCTCAAATTTATATGCCATCGCAACATTAATTACAAACTGGTCGTCTTTATTCTGAAAAAGTCTTTAGGTAATAAGTCTCTGCTACTTCACCGAGGATCCTGTCCGTGCCGGTCATATCTGCCATCCGAAGTGCTTCAGCAAAGAAATGGCAGCACGAAAGGCAGTTACGGTAAGATACATTATGTTTCATTGGATAGATGCCAATTTCTAAGACAGTAAGAAAGTGGCAATGCCAGTTGATTAACTAGAGGTGAACCTGCGCTGCATTCGAAAGGAAATGCTGCGTCATGGTCCTTTTAAGATGAAGTACAGTATGTCAGCCCAGATGACGCGGCAGGTTAGGGGATGGCTTTGGCCGGGCGCTGCCTCTTCTCTAGTTGTTGAAGGAGCAAGTGTCAACGAGTGATGGAAAACTGTTGGCGCTACGTTAAACCCAGCTCCACCTTTGGGACATCCCAGCATCCGCAGCGAACCAGACGTTACCTCGTAAAATCAGCTGGAATGATAAGATTAGAGCCGTCAAGACAGTCGTAGGTGTGTCTCCGCGCGCGGCAGTACTCGGTACGAAATCGATAAGCGCTTGTGGTATTTTGATCTATGACGATCATCCGGTGCCTGCCCATCTACCGACCTAGATTCACCATCATTTCCGGGTGACGTCGCCACGCGACGCTCACGCTGCGATTGTCTGATACACGTACCCATAAAAATGAAGCTTAAAAACAGTAAATCCAGTTATCTCCAAGTCATGTCGTAAAGGACAAAATAACTGTGAGCGAATAAATGTCAGGACAGTTTCCTCAGCTTTTTTGTTTTTCGGTCTTTTATGCGCGTGACTTCAACAATTTTTTTTTCAGGTAACCAACCGATGCATGGGCGATGACTCCGCCGTCTAGGAGAAGTTCGCTCAATTTACCCACTTTTTTTTCGCTTTTTCCTGTAGCCTTCAATGCATGCTTGCTCATTTTTAACTGAGCCATTCTCCTTATGAAAGCGCTTAGCGTACGCTGTCGTGAATTTTTTCTTATAGAGATTTACTGAAGATATTCTATTATAGATTTATTTATTATGTCTTGTTGTTATTCACCAGTTAGTTTTATCTTTCATGGTGCCTTTCCCGTTTTTGGTTCAAGCTTTACTTGCTTCCTTCTTTTTTACAGCTAAATCCCACTAAAAATTTGAAAAAGCTGTATTCTTTCATGTTCCTGCCCTTAGGTTACGTAGATAAATACGCTTAGACGACCATGGAGATGCAACAGAGAATGTTCTCTTCGGTTAGCCCTTGGTAAAGGGTTAAGTGTGTATTAGCCAGATCAACTGATCCATAATGGCAAAGCGGCGCACTGGTCTTGTTGCCTTTGTGATACTTTTGCGGTGGTCCTGGCGCGAAAGGACAGGGTGCATAGAAAGAGAGGAGTATGGCTCAGGTGCAAAAACTTATTGTGAGTCACTATATAAGGAAACTATCGGCGGAAGGGGGAACATCGAGCGGATTACGCGAAAAGTAGTAATGTGCTAGGGTCACAGTCAGTGTCATTGTAGACGTGATAATACAATAGAAACAAACGTTGTCAATCAAGAAAATAAAGCAGGCACGCACTCTCATCACAAGACGCTCCTCTCTTGGGGCTTGAGGAGGGGGGGGGGGGCCTGGCATTGGGCTCTGCCAAGGCGGTCTCTCACATTAACTGCATTCCTGAGCCGAGGGAGGCCGCATTTCAAGATCCATCCCCGTCGCGCAAATGAAAAACTAGTCAAATCAGCAGGTCCATTCCTAGTGAGATACATGGCATAGTGTTGTGCCGGAAAGTATCGAATAGAATACCGCTCTAGTCATTAAAGGAAAGATGTGGGGTTTTGACAGCTTTGTATTCACGAAAAAAACTAAATCATTATGGGCGAGAAATTCCGAGTTTCTTACTGCACGTACTGGTCTTTTCTTACCACCCCCCAAGCCTTCCCTCAATACCACGGCCCTGTTCCTCTCACCCGTCTTTCCAATCTCGACCGCCCCTACCCTATTACAGCTATTTACATCTTTTCGTACCACGCTAGAAATAGCAACGCAGGGTTCTTTTTCCCGAACATCATTTGCGAGAAATAATGCCAGTTAAAAAAACACAACAAGGGGCAAACATTCCTCGACTTGAAAAACGCCAAATGTCTCTTTTAGTGGGTTTTTTGGTGGAATTCAGAAACTTGTTTTATGACAGCAACGAAGTCAAACAATTTTCAAAGCAAGAGATTCCTTTCCATGTTTAAGAGGAATTCGAGGGGATGTTCGGCTTGGGGGGCGCAGGGGCATTTTGCACTTTTACTACTTCTCATCGACGTGTCGAGTCATCAAAAAGAGGCCTGGTACGGGTGAAATGAAGTGATACCAGTCAGTCTGTGGAAACTGCCTGTAAACTGTTGTGAAGAGTACCTGCCAACCTTTGTAAAGCAGTGAGCAAGACGTGGGAAGCGGCGAAAGCGCAAATTGTACCCCCCTCCCCCCATCCAACCCGAACTGCGTCGAGTTTAAGTTCTGGACTTGAAGGTAGAAGCTCGAAATTTCATTTATTGTCTATAAAGGAAGGCGAAAATGATCACGTTGGCAACGGCTGCATATTCCCATGCTGGCTCTTCCCAAACAGACGTTCCTACCAGCAACAGGAGGCGTGGATGCTACCCTCTCTCGTGGCCACGCCCCTTGCTGCTCCCAGACATGGTTCATATTTCCGCACCAACCTAATAACACAAATGCCTGAACCTAATAAAGGTTTATTGTCAGAAGTAAAAAAATATTAGAAATGTGAGTAGCTGAAATCGAGTTATCTAGACAGGTCAGTATATCCACGTAACAAAGACTAGAGATGTACGAGTTGTATAATAAGTTGTAAGTAAGTTGTATGCGAGTCGGTAATATTTTTGTTTGAAGAGCATTTGTTAGGAAGAAGATGGCAGTACATGATTAATCGATTTCCCAGGGAAAATGTACAAAAGATTGGATTGGCTCTTCCAGCGTTCAATCAGGAGCGTTCAGAGGTTTCTTCTTCTTCTGGGACTTCTGGGACTTCTGAGACTTGCTAGGCGTCCGGGCTTTCGTCGAGGAATCAGACTGTTTCGTTCCATCAGCTGTCGGTGGATTATCCACTATTTCTGCACTAGCACTTGCAATTATTGAAGTATCCATGAAGAAGCTCTGAAAGCGATAACGAATGAATCAGTTAAAAGCCTTTGGAAAGCATCTTTAGTCTAGTACTGGTAGGGCTATTGTGGTACCAGATTTTTCGCTTGACTCCGCCCACCTTGGTGCAGGCCCCGCCCACGACGTGTATATCCCGCACTTCGCAACCGCTGACCTCTTCTCTACCTCAATCCACCCTTTTTCCGCGCTCTGGAGTGCTCTGGAACCGAATTACAACTTTTTCGACATGAGTGCCTTATGCATCGGGGCAAGCTCCGCCCTATCGCAGATTGGCAGGGAAAGGAGCGGCTTCCAAGTAAGACTTAACATTCTATCAGCGCAACGGATATGGAGCTGGGAGGGCCAATAACATGAAGGTTCTCCGGTACAAGTAGTAATGGAATAAGTTGGGATATCTTTCCGTCTAGCTTATCTGTAGTTGACAATCGTAATTAGAACGGGTGGCGGGGGGGGTCAAGGAGGGCGAAATGCTTCGTCTTGCCTCCTACTAATAGGCTGATCGGTTTAGTGATCGATTTAGGAAGAAAACAGCTAGTGGGAAAGCGCTGCCGGTAGGCTCATCCCATCCCTGCTGTAACTGCTCCAACCGATCGCGGGACCTTTTCCACACTCTTTCATTCCTTTTTTCTTACCCCGCCCTTTCAGCCCTTTTTATTCGCGATCATTCCTCTGATTATATGGCGTATGTGCGGCTGTCAATTTCAGTGAATTGTCAAAAAATCGATACCTGTTTTCTCTCGATCAACCTCTTCAAATGTTTTCGAATCGTTCGGACCAAAAATACATCCCCACAGCCAATGTCCACGTCGTGCTCGCGTGAAATTCCCAACTGCAATTTTTTTCTTACGGGAATGACCTTGCGTCGAATAAATCGACAAAATAAATATTACAGGTATCGGCAGCCCCGTCGTCGAAAGCTCTCTCACGTGGATAGAGCAGAAGAATCTTGGCCCAGTTGATACCAGAGGTTTCTCTCTCAGCTTCTAATCGATAGGCTACAAAAAGCAATTTCATAACCCTCAACTTTATTTTTCACTGAAATTTGTCATTGTTTACTCTGGTTGCACCAACAAAGACTGTCAAGGCCAATTCCACGGTTACAAGGTGGTCGGGGAAAGGGTAGGGGTCCACAAACTCGTCGCGACTTGATCTATTGGCCCTCGGACCTTCGCACCGCCTTGGGAAAGGGAGTGGGGAAGGAATGCACGATGGCAGGTGGACGAACGCGTGCCATGCCTTTGAGTGGAGTTTTTGTTGATGGGCTTACTGTCTGGTCTGCCTTTGTACGTTTAAACAGACATGTTGCTCTATAAAGTACAGGTGAGGCTGACTGCAGGTGCTGGTGATACTTATGGAGGTGCCGTTTACTATTTGATAGGGGTAAAAAGGTAAAGTCGACTCGTAATCCCAAACCGATTTGGTACCATTCTGACGTCTCTGGAGGCTAAAAGGCTCTGTTGACCCGGACGGGAGCCGATCCCCTAGTTGAACCCTGGACAACACCCATGGTAAGCGTGCCATTCAAAATACCTTTCCGAGTTGAAAATCCAAAGCATTCGAAACTTCCCAGTAATTTCCCAGTGCTGTGAAGACGTTGAATGGCAATGGGTCACTTTTGTCAGGTACTGGGTGGCTCAATAGGAATTGTCTATCTCCAAAATTGAACGGTTTCCAGTGGTCAAAGTCATGCCACCGGTTGCGGTCTTGTTCGGCCACGCCCTCTCAACTCTCGATATGGAGTGCACACATCGCCAGTGCTGGTGGATTGGTTGGCTTGGGTGAAAGCCTATGCGGGATTTGATCGTCAAACGATGCATGCAGTAGTGACGAAATCTGTCATTGCCTCGCCTTTACCATACTCAGGATATTAGTAGGACATTAGGTTCAGTGAAGGCGATCATCACTCTACCTTCGTACTGTTGCACCCAACTAGATGGGATAAATGTCGGCATCGATAGCATCGTTTTAAGCATAGCTGCTTTCAGCTGAAACGAGTGCGATTATCAATTTGTTGTGCATTTCAAGAGTAGTCAGCACACTTTGGAATCCCAAGTAGGGGGTATTTGGCCGCTGAAGGGGAGGGTGG